TATATTAATTGCGTTAATTGTGTAGGCTTAAATTGAAGCTCAAATGATTGTTGGTGATTGATTCCATTATGATTTACTCGATAAGAGTTTTGAGAAGTATTAGAAAGTAATGGGTATTAAAATTTAATTAAATAGCTATAGAATTGATATTGCTAATGATTTTAGATTTTCGTTGCACGATTAGAACTTAAATATCACAGGGGTAAAATATCATGTAAAATAGATTTCAAGTGTTTAAAAAAATTTTTATCAATATTTTTTTTTTCATTATAATCGATTTTCTCTCTCTAGGTTTAACGATTAAATCTTTAGTTAATTGCCTACCGTAAAATGAAAACGGTGTTATTGTAATTTTAATTCAAGAAAATTAACAATACCATTATTTCTTTTACTTATTCCACCCTCATTAGCTCGCGCAGCGTCTAAATTGTGATTGACATAAAGAAAATAAAGCTGACCGATGTTGAAAATGTTAACAAGGATTTGATGCAGACAGCTGTCAATTTACTACGACGCGAGTTTTTTTGCACATTTCTCTATTTCACCATCATCTACCCATTGATGATGAACGATGTGGTTTGAAAGAGGACGAGGTGGTTTGGGCATATGGAGCGGATGAACGAATGTAGATTAACGAAAGAAATAAATAGAGCTAACATTGGAAGAGGACGGCCATGAAGAACATTCTCAGATAAAATTGATTTTTTTTTATAAAATCAAGAGTAGACTGATAGTTAGCCTGTCCATAACAGCTACAGTGTCACCCAGAGCTTTAAATCGCAAAGATCTGAGGTTGTCTCATATGGGCATAGCCATTACGTCTATCACCCTGAGATATAAGTTGACAAGTCCTATGTGCCTGTAATTTCATCAGCACCCAGTAATGAATGGCGGCAGAAATAAGTATGGTGGCAGTACTTCCTTGGACGAACTCTTTCACGATTTAAAAGATTTATTCATGTAAGTGAGGCAGGATCGTGCTAAATGGCAACCGATAGTCACTGCCTACCCCAATGGGAATCTAACGGCGTGAGTATATAAATAAATACATAAAATCTACCCATTAAGCATCCTTCTTCTGGATACTGGCCATCTCAAAGGAGACCTAACATCCTACTTCTCGATACTGGCCATCTCAAAGGAGACCGTTGCTGCTTTAAAGTGGGCTAAAAACGTAATACAACGATGTTTTTCTTCGATCTATTTTTTCATTCCTCGAACTTAAACGTTAGCATTAGAATGCTACTATATAGCGATGCAAGAAGCAGTTGCGTATATTCTCTACTGAGGCGCAGAGGTCTGTAACGTCCTAAGTAGGTGTGAAATTAACATTTATTTTATTAAGAAGAAAAATCGAGAATATTGAGTAAATGAATACTTAAATATTCTACAAATATCGCATTACTCTATTTTCTTCTATTTATTTTCGTAGGTGTGAAATTTACATTTATTTTATTAAGAAGAAAAATCAAGAATCTTGAGTAAATGAATACTTAAATATTCTACAAATATCGCATTACTCTATTTTCTTCTATTTATTTTCGAGATTGATCATGGTTTCATTTGAATTTTGTAATTTAATAAAAACCATGAATACCGTCGTTATAGCTCTGAACTTCAAAGTTTTGTACCTGATTTGCATTGTAAATGATTTTTTTTTCGATCTATACAAAAACCAGGGACCATGTATGCACAAAACATAGTACGTATCAATTGTGACTATATTTATGTTCTGTAATAAATATTGTATGATAACCTGGAAAAGGTAAGTTGTACATTATGTAAGGTAGTAAAGTACCAAAATCTTATAAGCAAAGATTTTAATTTTAGTCCCAGGAATTAGATAGGTTGAGGTACAAGAAACTAACCTTCCCGCACGACGTCTGGCGCAACCTGGGCAACAATCGACGAGAACTTGAAGCCGATTGTCAAATCCTTTCACCACTGTGGCAAGCATTATAGTGTACTCTGTCATTATTTATCTATTTATCTGACTTATTGTTATATGTGATAATTTTGTCACAAAAAAAAACATATTTTTATATCGAGTTCGTAGATTTTCACGATTGCTATACATTGAATATGAAACTAAAATTATTGTGACAGAGGCAATTGCGTCCTGAAGATGTTTGTCCATCGTTTTGACTGTACAATTTTAAAATTTAGGGTAAAGCTCACTATTCAAATTAAGTAATGATTTGTGAATTTTCTTCACTTTAATATTTTAATTTTTGTAGTTCCATGTTTTAATTTTTGTATAAAATTTGCCAATTAATTCCAATCATACTAACATAGTTTTAAAGTATTGTTTTGTAAGTAAGACCATTATTTTATGGGCTATGGCCTGAAATAAATGGTTTATTATTATTACCTTTAAGACAAACCAACGTTCCGAACTCTTTATAGCTTTTTTGATTATTTATACATTTCGATTCACAATTTTGCATTCTATGTTGTTTAAATAATTCATTTTTGTCCAAACTGTAATACACTTTGTCGTCACAGACGATAGAAAATAAATTACGAAAGTAATTCGACGTAGCTATACAAATTTTAAAAAAGAAAATATGCCGTTTTCTGTGTTGGTTGGACACCGTATATTTAATAACAACCAATTGTTAGTTACGATTACAATAACACTTTTTTGTCACTACGGAATTAGGATTTTTTTTATGCAAAAAGTCCTACTTAACACTAACACTTGCTACGATGACAAAAGCACGGTATTAAAATAGGCCAATGATGCTACAGGTTTTTTAAATTCGCCATGATTGCCGTGTTGGGTATCACTTTTATTTAGCACAAATGGTTATATTACGAGCAGTACTTACAACCTATTTTTGAGTATTCTTTAATATTGTAATTCTGTACACACTAAGAAAAATACTTCATATTCATGAGTATTAAAAAACTCCACAGACACTATATTTACCAATGTAAATTTTAAGATAATTGGTGATGCATTAAATTATTCTAAAGTTAACAGTTTTCTAACCGCAATATGGAGCATCTGAATGAAAACAAAAAATCATACAGTGGTAAAATTCGAAGGTATTTAAAAACTCGACAGACGCAATGTTTATAATATAAATTTTATGACATTAATTTTTATTCACTAAATTATTATTAAATTGTCTGTTTTTTTTTGTAAAATGATTAAAAAGTTATATTGTGAATGTATGAATATTGATCGCTGTTATACAGTTACGCGCTAAGGTATGTACATGCTGTCGTAACAGAACTTAAACGCCAACATTCGTTCTATATAGTGATGCAAGAAGCAGTTGCGTATGAAGTGGCCATAAATTCCGAGGTAACACAATGACATATATCTGCTCTCTACTGACGCGCAGAGTTCTCTAACATCCTAAGCAGGTGTGAAATGAACATTTATTTTATAAGAAGAAAAATCGAGAATATTGAGTAAATGAATACTTAAATATTCTACAAATATCGCATTACTCTATTTTCTTCTATTTATTATCGAGATTGATCATGGTTGCATTTGTATTTTGTAATTTAATGAAAACCATGAACACTGTCGCCATCAGTTAAGATCTTATGGTTATAACTTCTGACTTTAAAGTTTTGTTTCTGATTTGCATTGTAAATGAAAATTATTTTTACAAAAATACAAGATAAAACATTTCTGAATCCGAAAAAAATAACCGCGGTATGTTCTTCTTTAACTTGTACCTTATTTTTGTTTCCTTGTTTGAATGAATTTTGATTCTCATTTGGGAATATTTTCGTCTAAGTTCAGTTATGAAAATTTGAAATTCTAATACCAAGTTTGTTTTATGTTGGTAAAGGTACGTCCGTATTATCATTACATTTCTATTACTCTTCATTTATAATCATTAAATAGATTGAGATAAAACATTTGTGTTGTGTATATTAGTGGTCATGTTTCGACAGAGAACACGGGCAGAAACTGGAAAACAGCAATACGCTGAGGCTATACTTTTCATTAAAATATTCATATTAGAAATCTAAATAGTTCATAGGTTTGTTTTGTATATTTTCTATATGCATTTGCGATAAATTAAGTCCTAAATATTTGTAATTAAGTCGTTTTCATTTCATTTTTAGAAACATATTTGATTACTTGGACGCTTAAGTGGAATCCGATTTCTTTCGCGAGTATTCCCATCCTCAACTTCGCGCAACGATTTGAAAACTTTGTAGCGTCTTTTGTTTTTCTTTCTCATTTATGTATGCTATATATTTTTTATGAGACGTTAACAAGTTTCATATTGTGACACATTTTAAGTTGTGACGTCATCGCTGCAATTCTGAGCGTGACGCCACCGATGCTTCCGTCTGTAGCAATCAACCTACTTATAATAAGTCGGTTGGTTTACGTACGTGTTTTCCTTACTTTTTTACTTGTACGTGTTTTTCTTTCCACGTCATTCTTATTTCGTTCTGGGTGTTGCCGAGAAACAGCTGATTAGGCACTCCGGGTATACTTTATCATATGCTGAAACTTTTTACACTCGCAAAAAAAAGGAGAAGTGCAAAAAACCCAAAGAAAAAAAATAAAAAAAACAAAAATTAAACAAATATTTTATTAAACAAAGTTGGACTGTAATTTATCGATACATTATAATTATTGACAGTAGCTCATTACATTAATTAATTTACGCCAGACATGTACCTTCGAAACTTTTATAAACTTCAATAAATTGCTCATCAAAGCGACAATAGTTTATTTTTACACAAGTAATGACTTATGTATTCATTTATATTGAGCCAGTATGTAAACAAAAGTATAAACATAAATATTACCGAGGTACATAAGGAACATGTGACTTCATCTTCGTACAACCAAGTCCTACGCAGTGGTCGCACAATTTGTGTGAAATCAAATTGATAAGCCCCTCGAATTTTAATCTGAAAGAAAAACAAACAAAAAATAAAACAAAAATACGTGACCAAACAAAAAAGTAGCACTTCATAACATTATTTTGTTTATAATTTAATTGTTGTTTACTCACAATAATGGGCGGCGGGTAGTCAACACTCGCTGAGCGAAATATATCTACCAGATGAACCATATGGACAGATAAACTATACTCAGTTTTACGAAACTTTTGGTGCGGACCTATTGACGGGAGGGAGCGGACGGGCGCGCGGTCGCGGTAATCGGACGTGACTCGGGGCACAAGGCAGTACGTCTCAATCCGGCGACGGTCGGACGGCGACTGATCACAGCGAGCGAGACACGCACGCGGGGGCGGAGGTACGCACTCACGCAGGCTTGACAGCCAATCGCGTGCGTGCGCCGCGCGCACCCCCGCGCCCTTTTCCCCGCCCCGCACCCGCCCGTCACCTCACAATCGATGCCCTATATTGCATTAATTATTTAGGAAACACGCAATAAGATAACGCGAGGTGGCAGATAACGGATCTTCCACGTAAGTTTAAATAAATCATCGTATCTCCGGCCACTTCTGTCCGTGCCGTTCTGTTCTTGTTGCCGTTACGTGTGCGGCTGGCTGCGTGTTTGGGGTCTGATAACGCATTATTTACGTTGTCACGCCGCGCCACCTTTCCTTATCCATTGTTTTTATTTATATTTTGTTTATTCTAGAGGGTAATATCTATTTCATGTTTGTTTTGTAACTAAAAATATGTTTCCGATGCATATATTTGGAATGGTAAAATGTAGACAGAATATATTTCTAAGTTAAGTGGCGTATCTAAGTTAGGTGGCGTATTCTGAATGCGTGGGAGTAGCGAAGACACACGGAAATGATTTATTTTTTGGAAGCATTTCAACTTTTTACTTAGAGTTGATAATAAGGGTGGTAACATGATATTCAGCTGTTCAACAATTTTACAGAAACTTATATAACAAACTTATAGTTTGCAATTGATGATATTGAAAAGTTGTTATTTGAACTTTAAATTTT